CCATAGTTCTACTCGGCCTCGCCACCAACACACCACGCAATTATCATCACCATCACCACCAAAGCCACCATCCTCAGACTCATTATTACCATTACCATCACCAACGCCGTGATCAGCATCAACATCATCATCACCAAAACCGACACCAACACCACCATCATCATTACCACCACGGCCGCGAAGCTGCTGACCCTCGAGAAGCTCGGCTGGACTGCCACGTACCTGAGCCGCTGGAGAGCGGACGAATGGTACGGAACTGCACGTCGAGGATGTCGGAGGACGGTCCTCGAGGGGGCAGGTCCGTCGATCGCACGTGCGGTGGATCTGGCGGGAGGCTGCTGCGCGCGACCCCTCGCTCGACCGCGTGCGGGGAGGTGCCGCGGTGAGCGGCCTCCGTGGGTGGCTGCTCGGGCCCGCTGGCCGAGCGCCCGCAGCGCCATGATGGGCGGCCAGTGGCCAGGCCTCTCGGTGATTCGCGCTGGACCCTCCGAGCCCGCCGAGCTGAGCGGCCGAGCTGAATGCGGCCGGAAGGTCACCCTGAGGCACCTCGCCTGGCGGTGCCCCGCGCTGCAGCTGGAGCGGCGGAGCGCCATCGCGGGTGGCGCGGTGCTGCGATCCTGCGCCGACGTGGCCGCCTCCTCGGATACTGGGAACCCCAGGATCTCGAGGGCGCTCGTGGACCAGTCGCGCACCATCCCCGACGTGCCCGACCCCGAGGAGGTGCGCTGGAGCTGCCGCCAGGCAGCACGGTGCTGGCGGAGCGGCTCGGCTGGGGGCTCGCGGTCCTGACGACCAGCGGCCGCACCGAGGGGCATGGGGACGGGTGCCGCGGCACCTTCCCTATGAGGCCTCGTCGGGCGAGCTGGCGACGCTCGGGCCTTCCGCTGGGGCATCCGAACGGCCGACGGCTCCGAGCGGCCGACGGCATCCTCGAGACCAGGACGGACTGCAAGCTGCTGGTGGACGGCTTCGTTGCTGGCCTGGCCCCGCCGAGTGCTGCGCCTGGGAGAGCCTCACGTGGAGACCTCTCGCGAGGTATTGGCTACCATCGACGACATCGGCAGCCAGCAGCTCGTGCGCATCACCAAAGTTCAGGCTCATGCAGCACTCCGCACGGTGCGGGATGGTGCAGTGACGCTGAACGACCACGAGGGCAACAGGGCTGCCGAAACCCATACCAAGCGCGGCGCTGCCCGTCACCCCTTCTCGGAGGCGGCAGCGGAGCGTGCCGAGCTCGCCTCTGACAGGCTCGGCACGTTGGCAGGCTGGCCGGGAGAGGCGGTGCAGCTGGGGGACGCGCAGCTGACGGCGGCCGACGGCGACGCAGCGGAAGCGCCCGAGTCCACGTGCTGCCCGCGCGAGTGCGGCAAGAAGTGAGCCACCCGATGCCAACCGGGGCTCGCCGCCGCCGCTGCCTGCAGTCGGAGGCCCCGCCTGGCCCATGGCACCGATGACCGAGCTGGTGGCAGGACACGCTGGCTCTGCGAAGAGTGCGCGGGCAACAACGCAGCCGAAGCCGAGTCCCGGGGCCCGAGCGCGGCCTCGTGTTTGGCCGCTGAGGCGGGGGCGCTCGCCATCGCTGTAGTGGCCGCCATAGCCTCGGCCCTCGGCGACGCGGCGGAGGAAGACGACGAGGGCGATGACGCGCTGGCCGCGGGCCATGGCGAGAGCGCACGGCCAAGCCCGCCTCCTCCACCGAGGTGGTTGTCACGGCCGCTGGGATCTGGCCACGTGGCCTGGCGGTCGGGAGCGAGGCTCTTCTGCATCCGATGCGGAGCCTGGACAGCCAGCGCCGGCACGGCCGGGTTCGCGGTCGCCTGCCCCGAGCAGCCCCAGACGCAACGGGCCAGGACCGTCCTGGGCCGCCTCCAGGCAGTGCTGCGCCCAACGCGGCCCGGCGAGAGCGAGGCGCCCGTCCCGCTCCAGACCGACGGCGGCTGGCGGGCGCGCAGCCGCAGCCGCTGAGCCCAGCTCTAACGAAACTGCCATGCGGCAGCGCCGTGCGCGCTGCCAGGCGACAGATGTTCTCGTCCTCCTGCTCTGCTCCGTGGCCCGCGGCGGGTCTAGCGGGAACTGGGCTCGGCTCGCAAAACTGGCGCAGGCGGCGCTGTGGGGGCCACCGGACTTGTCGCTCGAGATTCCTGAGATCCTGAGGAGTCTCGTCGCCCGCGCCCATTTGGCTTGTGGCCCGATTCATGTCGAACAACATTAGCGCGGGTATGTCGACCTACGTTCCGGCACGCCTACTGCTACCTGTCGCCACTACCACTATCACCACCACCAGCATCACCATCACCATCATACTCTTTCATGAGTTTCCGCCTCCTCCTCATCCTCACCCTCCCCTGGCCTCCTTTCTCCCATGTTCCTCATCCTCACCTATCCTCCTTCCTTCCTTCTTTCCTTCCCACCTCCCCCTCCTACTCCTCATTCTCCGCCTCCGCCCACTTCCTTCGCCTCCGATACCCTCCCCAACTCCTCCGATCCCCTCCCCACCTCC